GCCCCCCCCCCCTCCCCCTCCCCCGTGGATTAGGGTTCATGGCGACACCACGTTAAAAAAAGCGCGCCGAAAGCTCTACCTCCAGGAGCAGCACCGTATCATTTTCCTGATCGGACTCTCCTAAGGTGGTGTGGAAATGAGCCTTTCAAAAGTTGTTTCCCCATTCCTTTTCGAGTTGCGCTTTCTAGTTTCTAGCTGTACACATGAAAAACATAAATAAGTAACGTCAAAACCTGAGAATCTTTGTATTGAACTGTGCGAAACTGAAATTTTCAAGTGAGAGCAACACGAAGCTGTAGAAGTGTGAAGCGAGCAGAAATTCAAAATCTTGTAAGTGTTATGAGGTGTTGCTGTACCTAATGTTCTGAGTTTCTAATAGACCAAATTTAGAGAAAATTTCCTCATGAAGACAGGGTATTTAGGATCTTTTACGCTGAGGAGCGATATGCATATTTTAGCAATAACCTGATGACGCTCGCCAGGTTTTGAATTTCTGTTCGTCATGTATCGATGGCTAAATGCGAAAAAGATGTATCTCAATTTAAGCGTTTTAAAAACCCCGATTATATGTTTTATTCTCTGCAAGGATTACTATCCAAAATGGTTCCTTGAAGTTTTCTATGATTTACTTAGAACACATGATTATAAGTATGTTGGTTGATATTCACTCAAAAAATAAAACATGATCGGTGACTTTTCGTCGCAAACTAAAAAACGCATTTTTCACTTTTCGTCGCAAACTGGAAAACGCATTTTTCGAGTTCAGCTATGAAGATGTGACCGTCAAAGGGGCCCCAAGTAACATACATTGCAATACGTAGTAATTACATAATATAAATATTGCTATTCAACTGAGTGTTGTGTATGTTGTCTAGCTCCTATTTGAAGGGGCCCCATTTACTGAAACTTTTTGCAATATATCGACGGTGTAAGTCGGCAATCACATAACTCGGAAAACGCGATTTTTCAGGAGAGGGAAAAAACTCTCTATATTCCTCATCTTTGAAGGTAGAGGAGAAATAATTCTTAGAGACCGCAAGAATAAGATGCTTCATAAGACTCTATCATCATTTTGAATAATATTCTTGTCTTGTCAGGAGAAATGACCGAAAACCGAGTTACCGCTGGGAAGCGGAAACAATAATTAGTATAATGTTTGTAAATAGTACCTATTTATAGGCGTAGTTTTTTTTTTTTTTTTTTTTTTTTTTTTTTTAATGTGATACAAAATAAATGAGTGTGCATATAATAATTGTTTACATGGTGTTGATAAAATTATTTACATTTGAATAGGACGGAAATTATCGGTAGATATCTCTATCGCCCTTGTTAGATTTATATATGATAATTATAGTCTCTAAGAATAAGGAGTACATGAGAAATAATATCTTAAGTCTATATTATAAGGGACCAGGGGAAGATGCCCCGGGACCATCTGTGTAGGTGTAGTTAAATTAGAGTCTACCGACTCACCAGCTCATATTTTAATCTCTCTTATTTTTATCAATAACGTACAAATGGTTAATACTTTTGTAGTTCTGTTGTATTTACAAAATAAAAAAAAAAACTGTTCACGATTCTTCTCGGGAGAGCGCGCGTTGTGTAAAATGCGGCGCGACGGCACGAGTTATGTGTTATTGGAATTAACGCCGAGATATGTGTTTTGAGTTCTACGTTTTTAGGTGACTTCCAGATTTTTTTCGACTGAAATATTTTGACAGCAGGTAAAGGGCATCTACTACACTTCATCTCTGCAGCTAACTCAAAACCGCCTTATGTGATTTCCGACTTGCACCGTCGAAATACAATACAGATAAATAAAGGCACTTTGTCATTCTTTAGGAGACTTACCTCGAAAACTCGTATCCTTGTAAAATCACCTCCTCTTCTTTTCGCCGAAAAGAATCAGGAATATACGAAATATCTCAACCACAAGTTACGTGGAGCAATGTGCACTCGGTGCATTCAAAAACTAGTTTCAATTTTTATCGAAAATAAGTTCATAAATGATTAATCCAGGACATTTTGCACTCTCGACTTCCGGCACTGTGTCAACGGTTCCCTCCAATGCTTGAGAAACAAATATTACTTCACCCCTTAAAATTTCAGTCGAGAAGTTATGCGGCACTCTAAACGAGGACTGCTGTTAAACAACTTAGTTTAGAATCTTAGTTGTCACCCTACTAATTGTATTCATTTCTCATACTGGACCGTCGCACACTGGACCGAGTCAATAGGAGAAGTAAGACAAAATCTGAAAACTTTAAAAGCTTATATTTTCAAAAATATGAAACTAAAAAGTTTTAGAGTGGCCTTAATGGTGTTTCCATGAAATTTCCCCACAGAAACACTCGTTGAAATTGGATTTGTGACTATGTAAACATCAAAATTTGAAATTTTAGCCCGAAAATTTATGTCCGACCTCTTCTATTAGCTTGTTCCACTGTGCGAGAGACGATTCGAATGAATTCGTCACTGTCAATTCTTCCCTCACCTCAGAGGCATCCAACAGAGGCACGCGTTGTGTATTTTTAGTTTTAGAAATTTATCACGTCGCATGAAAGGCATTAAAATGGACCACTAGACAAGGTACGAATTTCAGCATTCTGATACATGTTTCTTGACCAAAATTTCACGTAGAACACGATACGCACAACGAAAATAACCGAAATCAACTCCTTACAAAGATATTTAATGATTCTTGATGCGTGAATTGAAACCACCCGCTCATGAAAACTCAATACTCTACGTGATTCACATCGCGCGCTGAACGTTTATCATAACAGTCTCTGCGATATAAAAATCTGGCAACCTCAATCTTGACGCTTTGGCTCAGCTATAGCAAATTGCTCATAGTTTAAACAATACATGGTGGGAAATGAACATTGCTCGATAGAGAAGATAGCCGAAACCGTCGTAGTGGGCGATTTGACTCACGTAGAGCTTTGAGTTTCTTGTGAGCGGGCAGTTCAAATTTCTCGTAACCAATGTTAAATAAAAACGTTAGTATCTTCGTTAGGAGTTGATTTCAGTAATTTTTGTTGTGCGAGTCGTGTTCTACGTGAAATTTTGGTTAAGAAACATGTATCAGATTGCTTAAATTCGTACCTTGTGTAGTGGTCCATTACAATTTTTCTCGACTGAAAAATATCCCAGGATGGTTTATCGGCGTGCATTAACTGATGAAAGAAATCAAAAGTAAAAGAGAAACGTGGTAATGAAGACAATTCAAGAAAATCCTTCAAGTATGTTTGCTTTTTTTCTTCAACACAAGTGTTCAGACACATTAGGACAATTTAAGCCTGAAAAATCGTTCGATTCCGTGTAAGTTCGATGCCCTGACATCTATACTCGATTGGACTGTTTGCAGAGGTGATTTAAAATAATTATGTTTCAATCAAGCATGGAAAAACAAGAAGCACTGTGCATAGTTGAATTTAAAAAATGGTTCAAAGGTTCAATTTTATTTAATTCAATTTGTTTCGATCCCTACTTTACACTTGCTTAAAGATGGCTGAAACGTTAAAGCGTCATTTCAATCGCTACAATTGTATCATTGTGCGTATACGTTTTACTTTCCCGCTCCCCTAGGGTATTTTTAAATGAAAAAAAAACAAAAAGAAGAAACATGTTTTGTTTCAAGTTTAAGATTGGCATCGATAAATCGTTTCCCGTACGAAGGACCGTAACTTGATTCCAAAGCTGCAACACTGAATCTTACAACTCAATTTTTACGAGAATGTGCCTTTGTAATTTTCGTCCAAAAATTTTCTGATTTTTGCGTGAGATCAGTGAATCAGTGAAATTTCCAGTAAGGAATGTCCAATGTCTTTCTCGGAAAAAGTTGTAACGCGAGAAGAAATGTGGCAACATTGAAATTCAGTTACGTTCTTTCGCAGGCAAAACGACAAAATTTCTCGTGTAGTCGTTCCTTTTTTTACCTCGTCCTTAATCCAACCGGAATTTCCTCTGAAAATGCCCAATGTATATAACAGCACTATTTTCCCCTTAAAATTATTCCACTCGTCCCATCACGAAGGAAAAGTCCACGCACACTACACAGATACAGTTTCGTGTATCAGTCACATATCATTTCAACAATTTCAAAAACGACTCCTGTGGCGAGTGCACGGAGAGCATCACGCACACACGTGACTCGAAGCCCGAAAATTTCACGTTCACGTTGACGCGACGCCACACTCGTCGAGCTCGCGAGAAATGCAACAAGCGTGAGAGCGTGAAAGAGCGAACGCCGAGAACCGAGGGCAAAAGCAACACTGAGGGCACGGGCCAACCACGCGACACCGGGACAAGACAAGACTAGGGACACGGGATCTAGACGCGCGCACCCCCCCTCCCCCCTCCCATCCGCATTGGTGGGGCCCCCCGGCCTTTAATGTCCCCGTGCATCTGGCCGTGTCAATATGGGGATCAGCGGCAAGGCTACTCCGGCTAAAAGTGTTACCGAGACGCGAGATGTCCGACTTGCGATGCTGCCGAGCTAAGGTTCAGTTACACGATCAAATTGAACCATCAAACTGAGGCTCCGATTGGTGGAAAAAGACCTGAGGTCAGGATGCGACCAATGAGAGGCCCAATTTGATCGTGTAACTGGACCTCTATGGCGAAGAACGTCGTACGATCATTCGGAGGTTTCCACATTTGATTTCCTTTGGCGAAAAAGTACTTCAGAGATAAGGGGTCATTCAAGTGTTACATAACGCACTTAGGGAGAGGGGGGTCGAGCCCAGTGTTACGTAACACATCCGAGCCAGGGGGAAAAATGCGCGTCTTTTTGAACATTCTTCTCCTTTTTTATTTCAATATTTTTTTTGCGTAATATTTTTTTCGACTGTAGTCATCGGCATATACATAAATTTTTCCTCATCAGTGGCATTAGGCGTTGTTGCTTCGGCGAAATTCTGCCCTAAATTTGACTACGTTGCACTCCCCGTAATTGCAGTTCTGCTTTCTTTGACACCAGAGGCGTAGGGCCTTTATTGAGACATTAGACTTGGGACTCCTGCAACGATACCACTATTCGACCTCTTAGGCGCGCATTCTGCCTACTCTCTTAATTGAAGGAGAATCCACGACGAGAAATGAAATTTGTGATCACTCTATTTTTACGCTTTCGTCGCTAAGCATTGTTAATCAACATACTGGGGAAAATGTTATTTTAGTCGCCCTACGTATTTTCTTCTTAAACTCCGGACACTCTAGGCCGGATCCATAATCGTTCTTCAAGCAGGTTTTTTTTCTCTCAAGAAGGCTCAACCATCATATTAATGGTTAGGTATCATTAATACCGTCTCGATTGGAACTGTGCCAAACCTCGCTCATGTACGTTTTCTTTTTGTATTTTATGAAGAAATCAAACAAGCAGATTGTTAAAACTTCCCGTGAATTTTGTTGTCTAATTCAAAAATATTCACAAAATATTTCAAGAGGATACATGGAAGTTTTTTTTATTTTATAAAATAGAATCAAAGATTTTGAAATATTGCGTTGAAGGTGCCTATTTTCCGACTTATTTCGCCATCGCTATTGTTTAAATTGTGATTAGAAAGATTTGAAAAAGTCTTTGACACAGCATCTTTAAGGACAATACCCTTTAATAAAATAATTATTACTGTTAGAAAGTTCTTTAATCGTGAAAAATGTTTAGACTAACCTTGTTTGTAAACCCGTATTTCGCTTTCCTCTGCATTTTTTAATGATAGTGGTGGAAAATCATTGTAATCCCCTTGCAAAGATCTACTTTTAAAGTCGTGCAGTAGGATTTTACAAAAGTTTTGTGGGAATTGCTTTTTTAGGATAATGTGTTAATAATCTCATTAAACCTTTCTCAATCAAATTATGGAACCTGCCAATAGAATAGAGCTATTAAAAGAACAAGGATAAATATGGCATGTGTCTTTTTAGCAAGAAAATCAATCAAACAATAATATAAACCAATCGGAAAACTCCAGGATATTTTTTGAAACGGGCGATCAGAGAATGATAGTCCCGAATTCAGTAAAAGTGAATACATGGCCTGGAATAATAGGCATTTGGGATGGCTCAGATCAACTGATTTGAGCGTGCGTTCTTGAATGGGTGAAAAATTGACCGGAAATGAGGCAGCGGCATTTCCCTTGTAGCAAAAGCTGTTGATGAGTTGGCCTGTGCATCATCAATGCCCGGTTCATTGGTGTATTTCCGCATTTTTTCGTTTCCTCATTCCTAAAGGGCTTGTGATTTTTTTATCTTTTTTATATTCTTCCCTCCCTCTCCCCTTTCTTTTTTCTTCTTTCCTTCTTTTCTTCTTCTGTTTTTCGTAATACATATGACTCACTCTCTCCCCCAATACTACGCTACTCATGCCTCAATAGATGTTCTCAGAGAATAGTTTCGCGGCAATGAAAAACCTAACTGAATAAAGTCAGATGGGGAATGTCCCTGAAGGAAAAAAAAAAAAAAAAAATGAAAAACCTGAATAACAATTCGCAATTCTAAAGTAGAAGTTTTCTAATTAGTAGACTCATCCAGAGATCCATGCACACCAGCAGCCGAAAAATCATAGATATCAGTTTAGGAGATCTCTGTGAAGTGAATTGAGTGGCATTAACCATAATGCAGCCTAATTACATCAGAAGTTTTCTAATCTTCCAACGCATGTTATTTTTTTAACCGGAAACTTAGCAAAATTCTGCCTCAAAATTTCATCGAGTACAATCTTAAGCTAAAGAAAATTCCCGGAGAATTATAAATTATAATGTTGTTCGATTTTCGGTAAAAGAAAAGTAAATAAATAAAAATGTTGGAGGAATTAGCCGACATGAAATATAGATAGCATCAACCAGAATGAAATTAACTTCATTTCACGTTGCCTAACCCTGGTAAAAATTGGCGATAGGAGCTGCGTTTCAAAATACCATAGGAGTTCTTATAGCCGACTGAAGAAGGCGATAGAAAATCATGTAGCTAGCTGTAGAAAGTGGAAAAAATCATAACGGCTGGGCTACACGAAGCGATAAAAAATTATACTGCCGGGCTACAGTTCCTATCGCCGGGCTTTACACTTTATCGCCTGGCTGTTGCTTTTTCGCCATCGGCTATAAAAGGCTATAAGAAATTGTGTAGAAATTCGTGTGCTTTGTAAATCCCTAAGTTTGTACGGAATCACCTTAATATTTACAAAACGCGCATTATATTTTCCTTTACTACATATTTTTTTTTCATCAATTAAAATGAGAATTATCCTTACAGAGTGTGCAAACATTTCAAAGTCATGAGTTGAAAAACGCTGACTCCACGAGATTAAATATTAGAGCCTAACACAAAGCGGAGCGGCGGTGGCGCACTGGCGCCTACAAACCTAACAGGGATACTTCACGCATTGCGCAATGCGTGAAGTATCCCTGTTAGGTTTGCAGGCGCCAATGCGCGTTCTGCGCTGGCTGCCCGCCCGCCGCGCCGCGCAGCAGCGTACCACGGCGCTTGAAGCAACTATTTCACAACAGAGGTATTGCACAGTATCATACGAAATTGAAGCAGCTCCAACATATTAGGAATGGCAGGCATCCTTCAAAAGTACGAAGCTTTCCTCGCAAAATAAATCAAGATACTACGGCCTAAAAAGAGAGCAGTAGTCCAAAAACTCACGAAGTCCTGGCATCCGTAATTAGTAACGTTTAGCATACACTTTATCGCCAGGCTGTTGCTTAATGGCCATCGGCTATAAAAGGCTATAAGAAATTGTGTTGCCGGCTATAGAGGCTATTGGAAATCTTACAACCGGCTGTAGGTCTATGGTATTTTGGAACAAAGATTCTACTGCCAATGTTTAACAGGGGAGTTTTCCTTTTTTTCAAACAGAGGAATTTTCCAAAAAAAAAACTTCCCTATTCTTCTTCTTCTCCTCATTCTCTCATGTAAGTGCGTAACAACCGCAACAGCAATAGGACTGTTCAAAACTTTTGACATAGCCAAAATAAGAGTTATTTCCTGTAGATAATGCCTCAAAAATCACAGTGAGCGCATCGACAAAGTCTGAAATGCTTTCATAACTTCACAATCCGTGTAAGAAATTTGCGTTTTTTTAGCTTCCCGCTTCAAAAATGATACTACAGCACAGGTGAACATTTTGTTAGAGGAGTCGCTCCATCGTCGGCAATATTCATCACGGCCGACGCATTTCCAAATTTCTTACGCAGATTGTGAAGTTAGGAGTGCATTTCAATCGTGATTTTTGAAGCATTATCTGTGAGAAAAACTCTTAGTTCTGCTCTGGCAAAAGTTTGCAACAGGCCCATTGATGAATAAAACGATGAATCTATTCAAAATGAGAGAGGACAGACGAGAAATAAGTCGGAACCTTTACCAACGATGAAAAAGTTCCACTCGGTGTACTCCGATTGGAAATATATTCCTCGAGAAAAAAGCATTTTCCAAACCGAATCCTCCCCGGCCATGAACTTCAAAATAAGCGACGGCGAGTCGGCGAGAAAGACAAATTATGCGTGCTTTTCGCTCCGTATTTACGGCTGAAGCGTCAAACGTAGCTTTAAAACGGAGCGTATCGTGTTCCGTTTCCATTCGAGAGGAGTAAAAAGACCAGCAACATAATCCTAGGGTGCGATTATGAATGATCACGACTCGCCTCGTCGTTACGTTACTGCCTTGCTGAGGAGAAACGCCGTATCGACATTCGAAAGTTGCCAAATCTCCTCTGATAAAATCTTTATTTGAGATATTTTTAAGGCATTTCTCTTAAAATTATCATGGGCACCAGTATAAATGCCAAGATAATTCCTTGAAAAATTGAGAGAAAAAATAATTAAATCTTTCGCTTTGTATTTCATCAAATGCGATTTGCCAACGTCAAAAGGCCCTTACGGTGTCCTTCCTTGACACGACGGTTCATCGCTTTAACATAAGGTAGAAGCAAGCGGTTTCAGCATTGCAACTTCCAACAACCACCATAATTTTAACGATTCATATACGTAAAAATAACTTTCTAATCATTATACCTCAGTACCATTAAATTACGAAGGTTTTTTTTTTTTTAAAACAAAAAGAGGAAGGAGGAGGAGGAGAAAGAGGAGGAGGAAAGACTCATATTTAAACCAAAATTATTAAAATATAAAAATTAATACTTAAAAAACAGTTTATGTTCTTCTTCACGCATTCTATTTAAAACAAGTGAATGGACAAACTTAAATGGCTCTCCTCTTTTGCCACAAAAAATGCATGAAGCTTTCTCGGTGGCGAGAATAGACTCTTCAAAAAATAAAAATAAAATAATAATAAAAAAAGTGCTTAGAGTGAAA